GGGGAGACAGAGACAGAGAGGGAAGAATGAGACACGGGGAGAAAGAGGGGGAATAGAGAGATGGGGAGGGGGAGAAAGAGACAGAGAGGGAAGAATGAGACACAGGGGGAATAGAGAGATGGGGAGACAGAGAGGGAAGAATGAGACACGGGGAGAAAGAGGGGGAATAGAGAGATGGGGAGGGGGGAGAAAGAGAGGGAAGAATGCCCCCCTCCCCTGTCCGCAGGCACCGTGCGGGCAGGGGAGGAAGAGAGGACCTGGGAGCTCACCCTGCAGCTCCTCTGGGTCCTTCTTGCGCGAGCACAGAGCGTTGCAGCGGTTACCATGGCAACGTTACTGCTCTTGCGAGAGTCAACTCTAGCCCTGGAGCTACGGGCTAGAGTTCACTCTCAACACTGTAACCCCCATGGATTCCTGGTGGTCGCAGTGGTGAGAGTGAACTCTAGCCCCATAAACACACTGCCCCCACACACACACCATACACATTCACACACTGCCCCCATACACACCATACACATTTACACACATTGCCTCACACACACACATACACTGCCCACCCATATACACACAGACCCCCATACACAGCCCCCCATACTAACATTGCCACACACATACACTGCCCACACACCCTACACATTCACACACTACACCCCCACACACACACTGAACCTTTCACACACATTGCACCACTGCTCCTATTCCCTACTACAGCCCCATATCCCAGCAGATCCCAGGTAAGTTGTCAAACTGTTCTTAAATGGTTTGACTACTTACTCTGGAGCAGTAGTGGTTATTGTGCATGGATTATTTCTTTAAATAATCTACAAGTGCCCCAGTAGCCAGCCAGCCAACCCACAGGCTGGCCAGTAGCCAGCCAGTTAGCCAGCCCACAGGCCAGTAGCCAGCCCACAGGCCTAGCCAGCCCAAGCCAGTAGCCAGCCCACAGGCCAGTAGCCAGCCCACAGGCCTACAGCAAGCCACAGGCTTACAGCCAGCAAGCCACAGCCTGCCAGCCGCAGTCAGCAAGCCCACAGCCTGCCGGCAGTAGCCAGCAAGCCCACAGCCTGCCAGCCGCAGCCAGCAAGCCCACAGACTGCCAGCCAGCAACAGTAATTAAGGTAAGAGGAGCCAACTTGGCTTAGGTATCAGCGAGCTATGTTGTGTTGCTATATTGTGAATAGGAACCAGAGTGTTGGAGAGACCACCCTCCAGGCCCCATTAGACTCTAGCCTCTGCTAGAAATCCCCTCCATGGCCCATTAGCCCTCAATTGTAGTTTCTACTGGGGCCTGGAGGCGACTGTTTCCAGCAGGGGATATCTAATGGACGCTGAGATGGCCTCTGTTAGAAAGACCCCCTTCCAAGCCTTTTAGACTCCATTGTAGTCTCTAATGGGGCTTGGAGGGGATTCTATCTAACACACTCTCTAAAGGACACTGAGATAGCCTCCGCTAGAAAGACCCCCCTCCATGGCCCATTAGCCCTCAATTGTAGTCTCTACTGGGGCCTCGAAGGGCTTATTGCCCTTTGTTCCTTGTGTCTAAAGATTGTGTAGGGTGTGGCTGGAGGCGGTGCATGGAGGCGGGACAAGGGTGGCGCTTGCTGCAGAGTATGGGTGGGGCCTGTAAGGGGGCCCTTGATTTATTTTGCCCGGGGGCCCTGAGGGTTCTCAGTCCGCCCCTGATTCTCCCCATCAGCTGATGTTGGTGGAGGAGCAGAGGGGGAGCCTGAACTAGTGCTGAGGGACATCGGCGCTGGAATCAGGTAAATTATATAAATGATGTAAGTGATAAAGGGATAAAGGGGTGAGGGACACTAGGGAAGGGTAGTATAGTGCCAGGAAAAAAATGTTTTCGTAGCACTATAGTTTCCCTTTAAGCTTTAAAAGGCATACAACAGAATAATCTAAATGCTGTGGTATATATAAACAATTGTGTAATCATAGTTATAGAACAGCAACATAGCCACACTAAAACCAATAATTACAATGATAACATCAACACAAAGTGAATATATCAGTCTATATAAATACCTTATGCAATAGAATAGAAAATACATTTCTACACAGCATATATAATTAACATGGCACAATAAATTGCATCACTTAGAGATGTTAATTACATCCGATTTCTCGAAATATATATTACTCACAAAGAACATCAATCATTGTAAATACAGGCAGAAACAAGGTCAAATATTAATTAAACAAAATAAACAATTTCGTAACATTACATATTATTCCAATTAGAGCCATATACCTGCCTACCCAATGTGCTGCTAACAAAGTATCCCCACTGCATCATATCCAGATACATCAAAGGCACATGCCAAGCAATACCATAAAAATCGAAACAGTTATATTTTCTTCGTCTTTCTCATTGTCTTATGTCTGATATTCCAAAAGATGCTGAGAGAGCCCAAACACACAGGTTGCATCACACTACAGACTCTTTGGAATAAGCACATGACAACGTTTCAGCTGATATAAACAGCCTTCCTAAAGTATTCTAGGAGGTTTACCATCTCCTGAGTCTGGAGCACCACTATATTGTATTGATCAGGTGTTCCCAAAAGGTAGATACCCATATGTTGTAGAACTACAACTTCCACAATGCTTTGCATGAATTTAGAATGTCTTTAGAATGATAAAGCATCGTGGCATCATGGGAGCTGTAAGAGGCACCCATAGTTTACCATATTGTTATTATAATTGGTATTTATATAGCGCCAACTAATTTCGCAGCTCTTTACAATATTATGAAAGGGGGGGGATTTACAATAAATTAGATAATTACACAGTGATCAGGGCAGTCTCTGTGCAATGCTAATATTCTAACTGTCTTTCATCCTAGCTTGTGTCCTGGGACTTCAGGCAAGTGGCTCGGACACAGTAACCGATGACTCTCCACATGTGACCCCTCTCTGTGACATCTTGGAGATGATACTTTGCAAAGGATTGAGAAGTGAGTAAAATCTAGGTAATGATACTGTGACGGAGCTCCAGTACTCCGGCTGAGTACCTCCATTAAAGTTCCCTGGAAAAGAAAGTACTGAAGTGACTACAGTCCTTTCCCCAAACACCAGTCGACACTTGGTGAAGGGTAAAACAAAAACTCCTTATTAGAACAGGCACATATTTACAGGGACATTCGCAACAAGGGGTCATCAACAGTGACTATAGCTTCCTTCCCTGGCAGCGATGAGAACAGGGTGCCTTACAACATTTACCCTAAAATATGACCACCTCCAACAGTACATTGACAACTGATACATCCACATAGAGGTCTAATATCACCTAGCAACATGTACTAAAAGCGTCTGTGTTGGATGTACCCAGCCCGAGTAATCCTCAAATGAAACTGATACAGAGTTCCGAGCTTCCGCCAGATGATTAAAGACTGATCGCGCTGGACAAATTGCAGCTGCTCTGGTCCCATAGATCAGCTTCAGGGATGGAAAATAGGGCGCTCCACTGCACGAGGGATGGATGGAACAGGGGAAAATGCCAGGGAGAGTGATTATGCCCTTCTAGGGGGAGTTAGACTTTGAGCCCTGCACCAGTTGAAGCATGATCAGAGCAGGCTCCATCACAGATACAAAGAGTGTTTTAACTCTGAAGGGATTGGTACTGCTATGCCTGACAGCTAGCTTGAGTATTCTTGTCAAAAATAATTGATGGCGACTGCTTGACTCCCGTCTCCTGGACACTGTTGCTGTCTTGAAGGACAGCACATAAAATCACTTAAATACACACAGACTTACTTCACAGTTCCCTTTAATCCCTTCCCTTTTACTGATATGCCAGGTAAAGTGCTCTCCCAAGCACCTCGTCTGATGTATGAGTAATGCAGAGTTAATGACGATAGCCTGGCAAAGTGACTGTCACAGTTATGTAGGCATAAATAGCCACATTCACATTTTCACACCTATATTCATACTTATAAGAGCAGTTTAAGCACCATAACTACTACAACTTAACTGTATGAGCCATAGTGGTTATGGTTTTTGCAATGTCCGTTTTAATGTGTAAAGGCGAAAATATATGACCGTGCGTTGTAACAGCAGAAAAGTGGTCTAATTGGTGCAATCTCTGAGGTGGAGCACTGGGCATGAAAAGGAGAGATTACTGGCATTGGATAGAGGACCTTCCCCAACATGACAGCTGTGGCAGGTGAGAGAACAAAGTGAATATTTGGGTGAGAAAAAAAGCGCTTTAATTAAAATAATAAACCTGTTTATTAAATGGAAAGTATGGGATATGCTGGAATAAGGCTTGTCAGAGGGAGAACAATCACTGAACAAATAGCCCTTGCTACCAAATCGTTGTGACTTCTCTCTAGGGTATAATAGGGTATTCTCTCTAGGGAAAAAACAAATGCTTGCCCCAAACTGCTGACTGCACAAGGCCGTGGAAGATATTTCCTGCGTATGGCTCTCAATGGCAAATCTTTAGTGACCACAATCCAGCATTTACAACACACATGCAAACTATTGTAGGTAGGCAGTAATGTATACATGCTAAAATGTTGCTAGAATATTGAAGACCCTTTCATAACTTAGAGAACCATTTGTATTATAGATACAGTAGGTGTGTTACTACTGTGTGTGTGTATGTAATGGTCAGGATATCTGCATAGTGTTTTGATGTCGTCGTTGTGTATTTTATAATTGTTTATTAAAACAAGCCTCCCTAAACAGTAGGTAGAATTGTTGAGATTTTATTATGATTTCTTTTCTTCCGGAGGTATGATCCAAGCATGTCTGTACTTGGAAATGAAGACTTTATGGGTAATATAAATTATTCTGGTCACATATGAAATAATTATTAAAAAAATACATATAATTATATACATTTACATAAATGGGTACTATGCTCCCGCCTATCTCTACCTGTGCTACCCAACTTCTCAAAGTTGTTAACGTAATTTTGTTTAAGACAATCTATGACTTTCTCCCTGCAGAACCCTTCCTGTGCCTGCTGCTGGTAGCGTCACAAAGCAATTTCTTTCTGGATCTACAGGTATTTTAATTTAACCCCTTAAGGACTGGACTGTTTTTGCGATGTTGTACATTTGCGACCAGGCATATTTTTACACTTTTGTGGTGTTTGTGTTTGGCTGTAATTTTCCGCTTTCTCATTTACTGTTCCCATACAAATTATATATTGTTTTTTTCAGGACAAAAGGGGCTTTCTTTACATACCATTATTTATATAATCTCATGTATTTTAATTTAAAAAAAATAAAAAAATATGATGAAAAATTGAAAAAAATACATGTTTTTTGACTTTTACTTGAAAAATCTTTTACTCATCTACAAAAGCGAATGAAAAAAACTGCTAAATAGATTCAAAATTTTGTCCTGAGTTTAAAAATACCCAGTGTTTACGTGCTTTTTTGCTTTTTTTTTGCATGTTATAGGGCTATAGGTACAAGTAGGATATTGCGGTTTCAAAACATACATTTTTAAAATTTATCAATAGTGACATTGTAACACTATTATCTGTCATAAATCTCTGAATAACACCCCACATGTACATATTTTTTTTAAAGTAGACAACCCAGGGTATTCAATATGGGGTATGTCCAGTCTTTTTTAGTAGCCACTTAGTCGAAAACACTGGCCAAAGTAAGCATTCATATTTGTTTGTGTGTGAAAAAAGTAAAAAAACTAAATTGAACGCTAATTTTGGCCAGTGTTTGTGACCAAGTGGTTACTAAAAAAGACTGGACATACCCCATTTGCAATACCTTGGGTTGTCTTCTTTTGCAAATGGTATGCCATCATGGGGGTAATTCTCATTCCTGGGCTACCATACGCTCTCAAAGGCAACGTAACCAACCTGGCCATTTTCAATGTAAAAATATTTGACCCATATATTTGACCTTGTAACTTTCAAAAATGCTATAAAACCTGTACATGGGGGGTACTGTTTTACTCGGGAGACATCGCTGAACACAAATATTAGTGTTTAAAAACTGGAAAACGTATCACAACAATTATATCATCAGTAAAAGTGCTGTTTGTGTGTGAAAAATGCAAAAAAAGTAACTTTCACTGACAATAACTTGAAGTCTCCGAAAACAGTACCCCCATGTACAGGTTTTAGGGTGTCATAGAAAGTTACAGGGTAAAATACAGTGCTAGCAAATTAAATTCTCTGGAATTTCGGCCTGGGTTGGCAGGCAGGTCCCTCAAATTGCAATCAATAAAATTACTGAATTATGTAAAAATATTACATAAATACATACGTAGAATTTAAATATATATGCATATTTATATATTTGAAGTCTACGTGTATATTTATATAATTATTTATGTAATTTTGTATATGGACGTATGTATATTTCGTATTATTTTTATTTATTTTTATATACATAGATATATATATACAAATTCATTCTAAGTGTATTTTGATATAAATATATATATATTAATTTTAAAATACAGTTAGAATAAAATTTCATATAGCTATATAATTTTTTTAAAATTTTTTATTATTATTTTTAAAAAAAGGTATTTAATTTAAATTACTTATTATTTATATTTTATAATAATATATATATACAATATATATAGTTATTATATATATTATATATATACGTGTGTAATTTAATTATAAGTGTATTTTTATATTAATATAAGTACATATTAATATAAAAATACACTTAGTATGTCATTATATATATGATATATAGACATATATTATATAGATATAATATATGTCTATATATCATATATACACATATATAATTATTATTATTTTTTTTATTAACACTAACTTTATTTATTTTTTTGATTTTACACTAGCAGGGAGACTGCCTGTCAGCACAGACAGTCCCCCTGCAGGCAGACACATGGGACACCTATTGTGACCATGTGATCGCTGTGTTAAGCGATCACATGGCCACAGGGGTCCTAAATCAGTGTGGGGAGACTGTCTGGGCTGCAGGCAGTCTCCCCACAACCGGAGCAACACTGATCGCCGCCGGGGGAACGACGGCGATCAGGTAAGTAACGGAAACCGTTAGGACGGTTCAGGACCGTCATCGGTCCGCAATGGGAAAATCCCGATGACGGTCCTGAACCGTCCTGGGTCGGGAAGGGGTTAATGTAAATGTGGGTAAAGTAACTCCTTTTGGATGTACAGCATTTTCCATCATGTGGCTCTGCAACTCGCTTGAAGTTTGTTAGATTCAAGAGCTTCTGTGTGTAAGGGTATAAATGAATGCACCATACAAGTACTCCGAATAATAGAATGTGATCGTAATTACATTTTCTTCTTGCCTGTTTTCAAAATTCTAGTTTCCTGGATGAAAGCTAGATTCTCCCGGTAATTCTTTGGCATACAGAACATACGTTTTAACGTGTTCTCTATTGTTATAGACATTACATTATTATTCTATTAAATATTAGTATTTGGTCATTGTGGCGGAACCAGCCTCGCCACTGGGCATTGGAGAAGACTGATTGCCAGCCTCCTGCCATGTGACTATGGCCCCTGGGATGTATTGCCTGCTCTCCTGTACTGCTGAGGATTGCTACCAACTAGGTGGATTTGGCTATGGAGCTTGTGTAGTGCCCTCTGTTGGTAGCAACAGTAATATGCACTACCTGAATAGCAAGACTGGTAATTTGCATATTCGGGTAGATTTGCATATCGCTAATTCTGCATGCAGGAGAGACATTTTGTGTTAATTATGGTCTTCCTCACTCATTTATAAATATGTAATTATGTTATAATAAGTCACTGTATGTTGCCTGCTATGATTTGATTGTTTGTAATTTTATTGAGTTTTCACAGCAATGTCAATGTAATGACCATATGGGCTAGTCCCAAGTAAAATAAAGTTTTAGACAGTTCTACTTCACCCTCAATTTGGAGTCCTGTCTCTTATTGAGGGGAATCTGCTACAGAGGATTGCTATGCTCTGCATATTCCGTTGCTATAATCACTCCTAAGCTCTTTTAAGAGCTTGTTCTTGCTTCGCTTGGTAGGAAGAGAGGTTCTGCCTGCGGTGGTTGTGGTATCAACTAGAGTGCTTGGAGCCCTCAAGAAGTGCTAGGAGCGTCCATCAACGGAGGTACCCAGTCGGGGTGCCATGTGATCCGTTACATTGGTGGCAGTGGTGGGATGGCTTCCTAGCCTTGGGAAAACCAGCACTACTTCAGAGATGGAAGGCCGTGCAGTATCTCACTTTGACGCCAGGCTCCAGCAGCGACTACAGGATATGATGCGCAGTATGGAGTATCCTATCCCAGAGGAAAGAGAGACAGAGAGGAGGGTGGTGCTTCGTACCGATCTCTGGAAGGAGGACATCGACGAAATTCGACCCTTCTGGTGCAAGGAAATCCTGACCACTAACCAGTGCCAAGCAGAACAACTAGAGCTGTGGATGCTGTTATTGGAAAAAACAGCCCTCAGAGGAATGGGTAAGTGAACTGGAGACACTAGTTGAGACTGAGGTGTGGCTGGATGATTCTTATCGGGCCCTGCGGTGGCATGCTTACCACCTCTACCCATGGCTGATCGAGTACAAGTGTATTGAGGGGGAAGACTACGATGGCCCTGGTTTGTTGTGGGATATATTGAAACTAGTCTCTGGTTCGGAGACACCGACATTGCTCACTTCTGATCCATCCGAGCTGAGCGGGCAGACAACTGGGACCTTATGGAGATCGATGCCATTCAGCCAGATCTATCTTTTCTTGCCAACCGAGAGTGGGAACTAGAACAGGACTATGTTTGCCTATTCCAACGTATAACGCCGCCTGTCTCTGACATGATGGGGCTTATTGTCTGTATACCACCGGAAGCATTGAGTTTAGTTCCTCCTCCCCAGCAACCAAGCCTGTTATCAGGTGACCTTGGTACTGTACCACATATGTCCCAACCAGCCCCAGAGATGGAAGACCTTATTGACTTGTCCTGGGAAGACACCCAGCTGGCAGGTGGAGATGGGACCGAGGTCTCTCTACAGGCCCTACAGGGATGCTCGGCAGTCGGCCCAGATCCCCAACGGCAGTATGTATCCCAGGGAGCTGAAAGTGCCGTCCTTCCTCCCCAGCGGCAGTGTGTGTCCTTAGGAGAGGAGACAGTTGGTCCCGCTCCCCAGCAGTTCAGTGAGTTACAGGGAGATGAAGGTGCTGTCCTTCCTCCCCAGCAGCAGCGTGTGTCCCAGGGAGCTGAAGGTGTCGTCCTTCCTCCCCAGCGGCAGTATGTTTCCCAGGGAGCAGAAGGTGCCATCCTTCCTCTCCAGCGGCAGTGTGTGTCCTTAGGAGAGGAGACAGTTGGTCCCTCTCCCCAGCAGTTCAGTGAGTTACAGGGAGCGGAAGGTGCAGTCCTTCCTCCCCAGCGGCAGTGTGTCCTGCAGGAAGCGGAGACAGTCAGTCTCGCTCCCCAGCAGCAGGACAATATATTAAAAGGGGAGACAGTTGGTCCCCCTCTCCAACAGCAGAGAGTGTTCCAGGGAGAGGAACCGGTTATCACCTCTCCCCAGCAACAGGACAAATTATTGAAAGGGGAGACAGTCGGTCTCCCCCTCCAACAGCAGAGAGAGTGTCAGGGAGAGGAGCTTGTTATCCCCTCTCCCCAGCGGCTGAAAGTATGTATGGGAGAGGCGCTTGTTACCCCCTCTCCCCAGCAGCAGCTTAGCCCACCAAGGGGAGATAGTAATCTCCACAACAGTGCAGATGGGACCGTGGTCTCTGCACATGCACCACCGGGGGTAGGGACAGTCGGTCCTGTCCCCCAGCAGCAGGGCTGTTTAGCCAAAGGGGAGACAGTCGGTCTCCCCCTCCAGCAGCAGGGCTGTGTGTCCAAAGGGGAGACAGTCAGTCTCCCCCTCCAGCAGCAGCCCCAGATCTCAAGAGAGGAGCCTACCAACTCTTCTTTTCAGCATGGCTCCAATCAGGATACTCCCGTGGTAGCACTGGCACCAGGGCAGAGTACTGCAGGTCTCTGCCCACTCTGCAACCCACCAAGGCAGCCTGTCAGTACCCCACACAGCTGCAGTGAGGCACCTGGACATGGA